AGTTTCATCTTCTACAGTTGCTCTTTGCTCTGGTTCCTCTCTTTGCCTCCCCAGAGCTCCTAATCTTCCATCCAGATGCCATCTTCCTCTCCCGCACTCGGTGGGCAGAAGGCAGATCGATACAGGCTGGGCTTTCTGTCTCCCGGTTTCCTGTTGACCTGCGACAGGAAATGATCGGGGCGAGCCGATATAAACGGAAGGTGTGCGTCTGCTTAAAATTCATGGTGAAATCCTCACCTCTGGGGTACAGGCATTCAGAGGAGGAAGTCACTGAAGTTAAATGAGGCTGTGAGGACAGCCCCGTAATCCAGGGTGACTGTTGGCCGAGAAAATCTGGGCCTCCCTCTCCCTCCTCTGTGGACCAGGTCAGAGAAAGGCCGTGAGAAAGGAGCACATCACCTGTGAAGTAGGAAGACAGCATCGCCAGAAGCTGAAGCCTGCTAGACCCAGGCTGAGCTTGCAACACCAAAACTGCGGAAAGGCTGTCCCAGCAGGATTGGACCCTTCCCAGGGTTAGGAGGGAAGGATCTGCCCCAGGTCTTTCTCCTGGGGTTACAGGTCCTGTCTTCTCCCTGGGCTTTCCCCACACCATCTACCCTCTGTGTGTGTCTGTCTCTGTGTCCACATTTCCCCTTTTTGTAAGGACAGAGTCATGTTAGATGATTAGGACGGGTCCTAAAAATCCCATTTTAAGTTTACTCTGTAAAGAACATATCTAAATAAAGCCACATTCTGAGATAATTGGGGCAAGGATTTCAGTCTCCAAGTTGTCAGGGACACAGTCCAACCCACAACACATTACATGAGTCGATTTGAAAACTACTCGAAAAATGGAATCAGTGGGATTCTGTGGGGAGACATGCTGGGTTAGATTCATGTTACTATAACAGAATCCTAGGAGAATCTGCTTATAAAGAACAAAGATTTGCTCTGGTGCAGTTTTGGAGTTTCCAGTTCATGATGGTGGCCCCATGGACTTCAGGCCTGTGGCCGCTCCGTGTGTTCAGCACCTGGAACGGCTGAGTGAGCCAGGAAGCAGCCAAGAAGCAGGAGGAGCCCAGGGTCCCACATCCTAAGGACCCAGGTCCTGCTTCCTAGCGGAGCCTTCCCCACGCGGGGCTGTGGGAGACGCGGAGATCCTCGCTGTGTCAGGAGGAGTGGGGGGAAGGCGGTGGATGGCAGGGGTGATAACTTTGGCATCAGAAGGTAGGAAATGCAGGAAAGGGGCAGGTCAGGGTGAGTAAGAGTAAGACGGGAAGATTCAGTCACGGACACGTGTGTCGTCAAAGCCCTGGTGCCCACGTCTGGAGCTGAAGCTTTGGCGGGCCAGGGTTAGGTCAGAGTGACTGAGTCCTTCCTGATGCAGCTTTGTCACAAGAGGAACAGGAGCAGCTGCCTCTGTCTTCCTGGGCCTCCCAGTCTGCGGGAAGAAGAGGCCCGTGAGGTGTGGGAGGGCCCTGAAGGTAGGGGGAGGAGCCTGCACCCGTGAGCACTGCCACCTGGGATGCAGGTGGGACCCTGCAGGGAGGGGCCATGGGGGGAGAGGCTCCACCCTGCCAGGCCACTAGAGACGCCAGGACAAGACTGCCCACTCCGGAAGCCCAGCGCTGGGCAGAAATGGCTAGAGCTTTGTCCCCTGTGGTGCCACTGCATCACTGGCCGTGCAGCCCAGGTGAGGCCTCCGTGTGCTGGAACTGCAGACAGATGCATCTGTGGGGCTCTCGCCTCACCGCAGCCCTACAAACCCTGCAGATCTGAGCGGTTCACTCCCACAGCTGCCAGAAGACAGCTAAGGAAAGCGGGAAGTGCGAATGGTGATTCTGGATTCCATCGACCAACTTACTGGAAAAGCTTGGAACCCAAATGGCAGTGAGAAGTGCTCTGGGTCCGAGACCCTCAGAAGTGCTCTCTGCTGTCAGCTCTGTAGCCACTGAGGCCAACAAGCCAGGTCTTCATGGGTCTAAAGAGGGCACAAGGGAGAGAGTGGTACTGCTGCACTGGAGCCGCTGATCAGACTAGGCAGTGTTGGCGTCAAGAGCATGAAGTCTAAGATTCTTCCCAAACAGAGACTAAGGGAAGAAAAAGACTCTAGAAAGACACCTAACTGTGGGTACTACTGAAATCATACGTAGAAAGGTAGGAACATGTAGACAGTGCCCTCAGAATGGTGCTATGTGGGCCTGTGAGGATAAGTCTGTACTAGTTCAGCCAGGCACAGAGGGCACGCTGATCATTCCAGACACTCTGGAAGCTGAGACAGGAGAATCACAAGCTCAACACCAGCCTGGGTGAATTATCAAGACTCCCATCTTGAAGAAATGAGTAAACAAAAGGGCTGATGATGTAGCTTAGTGCTACCTGGGTTTGATTCCCAATACTCCAAAAAGAGTGCTGCTTGGCAATGTACTGCTGATAAAACAAGCAGTTAAATGCAGCTAGATTTAGTTGAGGAATTTGGCCTTTATCCTGTGATAGACACTAAACTAACAAACTCTCTCCACACACTGGGCACCAATCATGGTCGGTCTGGTTGCACATACAGATTGGCACATCACTCTGGTGTAACACAAGGCTGCAAGGAACTCTGGGGATCAGGGACCACTCCCTTTGCAGCTGAGCCCTGTGCCCAGGAGTCACATTTGACTTCTCTCCTAAGACACTAAGAGTAAAAACTTCATCGGTGAATTTATTCAATATGTTGGCCTTTCATGACCACTTTGACCTTGGGGAAGAGCCAGAAGATGCACAGGTCTTCAGCAATTCCTAAAAGTTATTGCTTCAGGGCAGAGAACTGGTAGCAGCCAGTCCCTTTGGAGGTAAGAGCATTCCTTGTCTGGACTTCAGTTATTTTCTAAGAGGTGGTGTTGCACAGGGGTCACACACCAGGCTCTGTCCACAGATTCTAATTTCATCTTCCTAACTTTCCCTACAAGCTTAGGAGAGTTATTTAACTCTGTGTATGTTACATTTTGTATTTAGATGTCCCCTCAAAGCCTCATGTGCTCATCGGTGGGGCTTTTCAGAGCTTACTGAATCTAGGGCATGTAACTAAATTGGTTTAGTTTAGACCTGGGTGTGGATAATGGAAACCCCACTCTGGGTGTGAGTGGCACTGATCACTAGGCTAGTAGCTTGGATAGAATATAAGGGAGAGAGGGAAGACTAGCTGGCTGTTGCTGCTGCTTGCTGCTTCACTGCCTTCTATCATGCCATAACATGGACTGTTTCCTCAGGCACATTCTGTCTCAAGCAAACTCAGTTAAGCTGTTACCAGCCACAGTGTCTTCCCTAACTAATCCACATGAGGACTGTGGTATACCTTGTCATGTTTAGGATGTAGAACATGATCAGTAAACATAGCTGCACCGGAACCAGCATGCACACATGTGGTTTCCCCACAAACCTGCACTCTGTGGACAGTTTTCATTTCCAGACATTAGAACTAATCACAAATAAAAAACACAGTTTTGGTTTTGTTCAAATCGAAAGGAAGTAAATAAGTCTTAGCATGCTGCCTGGTGCCTTGACAGATAGAAAAGAGGTCAATATATTAGATCATTTGCCTGGTCTTTGAACCAACCGAACAACAACAACAACAAAAAAGAAGTGCATTATACATCAAGCTTGGATGGGTAGGTTCGATTTTCCGTGTCCGACCTCCCCGGCACAAACTCCAGAAATGCAGAGGGAGCGGGAAGCAGGTTGGCATGCTATGCCTGGCTACACTCGCTGATGCCATCCTGGCTGAGTGCACTGAGCATCAACACTGGCAGAGTGAACCCTGTCCCCACACTTTAGGGTCCAGGTTTTCAGCTCGGAAAACAGCTTTGAGCACCGCTGCTGTAGCCCTGGAGGATGGAGGCCCTGCAGGAAATTCTGCAAAGCACAGATTTAGAACTTAAAGGAGAGAAGGCGGAATCACGCATGGAAACCAATCAAGAGTACTTTGCTGTCTCCCCAAAGGGTGAGAAGGAAATGGTGTTTCTTTAAAATGTTCCATATCATCTGACTTCAGCTGACCCTGAGTCACACCACCCCATGCTTATTCGGCTCTATCAACCTCCAAGGCGCCGTGGAGTC